CAATTCCTTTGCTTGGGAAGGGGTGAGCAGGCTCAGCTTGATCCGGAAGAAGGGAAGAATTTGAATAAATGCACTAAAGTGGGCTTCCTGTTTCAAGGAGGTTTTGTAGGCTGAGGGTGAAAAAGGTTGAACCGGGAAGTTCTCAAGTCTGCTGAGTGGTGGCCAAGCTGACACATTATAAATAGAATAGAATAGAAAATAGAAAATATAGAATAGAAAATAATATAGAATAGAATAGAATAGAATAGAATAGAATAGAATAGAATAGAATAGGACATATTGTAGAATAGAATAGAATAGAAAATAGAAAATATAGAATAGAAAATAATAATAGAATAGAATAGAACAGAACAGAACAGAACAGAATAGGACATGTTGTAGAATAGAATAGAATAGAATAGAATAGAATAGAATAGAAAATAGAAAATATAGAATAGAAAATAATAATAGAATAGAATAGAATAGAACAGAACAGAACAGAATAGGACATATTGTAGAATAGAATAGAATAGAAAATAGAAAATATAGAATAGAAAATAATAATAGAATAGAATAGAATAGAACAGAACAGAACAGAACAGAATAGGACATGTTGTAGAATAGAATAGAATAGAATAGAATAGAAAATAGAAAATATAGAATAGAAAATAATAATAGAATAGAATAGAATAGAATAGAACAGAACAGAACAGAATAGGACATATTGTAGAATAGAATAGAATAGAATAGAAAATAGAAAATATAGAATAGAAAATAATAATAGAATAGAATAGAATAGAATAGAATAGAATAGAATAGAATAGAAAATAGAAAATATAGAATAGAAAATAATAATAGAATAGAATAGAAAATATAGAATAGAAAATAATAATAGAATAGAATAGAATAGAGAATAGGATAGGATAGAATAGGAGCTGGAGGGGACCTTGGAGGTCTTCTAGCCCAGCCTATTGCTCAAGCAGGAGAACCTAGACCATCTCAGACAAGAACATGGCTAATATCCAAAGCTGGCTAAGGAAGGCTGGGACAGAAGAATCCCTCAACGCCTCACAGGGGTGTTTTCACTCTGACCCAACATGAGGATTGCCAGCTTGGAAATGATGTGTGAACGCGGCCATTCTGGTTTGGTAAAGTGGGGGACCTTAGAACCAGAAATGAGCCCAATCCTTGGCCGGAGCAGGGATCCCAGGGAGATGGCTTGACATCTGCCAGGAATTCTTCTGAATTCATTCAGATCCCTCTTGGCTGAAGCCTCCCCTCTGCATGGAAATGGGCTCCCCCCCCCAGCCAATGGGGAGAAGGAGGAATATTTTTTTTCCACAACAGAGGAGGAGAACGAAGGAGAAGGAGAAGAAACCATCATTTAGCACCTGAAGGCAGCACAAGAAGCAACGGGTGGAAACTAATCAAAGAGAGAAGCAACCTAGAACTAAAGAGAAATTTCCTGACAGTGAGAACAAGCAGTGGGACAATGCTTTGCCTTCAGAAGTTGTGGTGCTCCATCACTGGAGGTTTTTAAGAAGAGACGGGACAGCCACCTGTCTGAAATGGTAGAGGGTCTCCCGCTTGAGCAGGGGGTTGGACTAGAAGACCTCCACGGTCCCTTTCATCTCTGTTATTCTGTTAGTACAGCCATCTGTGAACAGAGTCAGGAGCTGCAAACTCCTGTAAGGGGTCCCTTGCCTGTGGGTGTCAGTGCCTGGAGAAGTCACAAGGGCCTCCTGTAAATCTGTAAATGCAGATGTACAGATTTTCAGCATCCTCTGCCAGGGGCCGTGCCCAGTCCAGGACCAGCTCATTCCATTGTGGAAAAGAGCCTCTTCCTGCCAAGCCCGTTTCTGCCCACTCTGTACTCTCCTTGATTTCAGGAGAGCCACCGGCCGGTGGAGGGCTGCGGGGGGGGGGGGCAGCGCCTCATGTCCTCCCCCTCTTGCCAGGAGGGCCTGGCAGGATAGCCTCCCCTGCCAAGGACCCTGCCAGCCTGGTTCTTTCTCTTCCTGGTCCTGATGTTGGCGGCTAGACGAGGTTTCTACCCAGGGCGGAGTGGCAGATGCCGAAGGGGTTAACTGGGTTGCAAGGATGTCGAAATTGGGTGAAAAGGCAACTGGAGTCAGAGCAGGTTCTGGTCTCTTTTACTGGGTCATGGGACCTCTGCAAACCGGCTTCGCACGTTCCCTTTGTCGTCCTCTCTCTGCTGTCGTTATCCTCTGTGTGTATTTGTGTGTGTCATTGCCTCCCAAGCATATGACACGCTGCTACCTGCCCACTGCAGGGAAAACCCCTCCACGTGGCTTGGATGGCGTCAGGCTGCGCCGTGAATGGGGCCGGAGGGAGCAGGAAGAGAAGTTGCCAAAGGACCCACCGGGGCCAACTCCTGTCTTCATGGGCATCATGGGGGGGGGGCAGACAAGAGGGGCTGAGGTGCCAGGCCAGCAGGTCTCTAGGTTGCATTGGGAGCATCTTCCCAGCTGACCTTGTCCCAGCTCCCTCTGTCCTCACCCAAACTGGCTGGGAATTAAGGGAGTTGGAGTCCAAGGCCTGTCAGGGACACCAGGTTGGAGAAAGGCCAGCCTGCTTGGCTTCTCCAAAGAAGCTGTGCTGGAGATTCTCCTGGGGGTGCTCTGCATTCTTCCTGGGGACCCCCCCCCGGGCACATCTGGCTCTGCAGACCCTTGTCTGGGAAGTCTCCAGGAATTGCTGCAGAATTCCTGGACGGGACGGATGCAAAGTGCCTCCAGCAGCCCCTGGTGGACGACCTGGAGGGGATCCAAACCCCGCTTGCATTCCAGGCTCTGCTGATTTTAACCAGAAGGCGTCTGGCAGCAGCTTTACCAACTCAAGCATTTGAGGAATAAAAGCTTCTGCCTTTTAATCAATTTTTTTAATAGGAAAGGCTGTTCTCCGACTCCAGATTTTTGGCTACCAATGTACTAACACGGCTCTTCTACAAGGATCATCACCAGATCTTCCTTCCTTCCTTTTCTTTTTCCTTCCTTCCTTCCTTTCTTTCCCTCCCTTTCATGTTCAAGGCAGTGAACATATCCAAAACACTTTCCTCCTGTTATTGACCCTACAATAACTTTGTGATGTGAGTTAGGCTGAGAAGAGGAAAGCAACTAATAATTAAATTTGTGGGTGACTGATAAAACTATGAAAAATTAATAATGAGGTGATTCTGCTGCGTATTTGTCAGATTAGCCCATAATTTCCTAAACACAGCGGAGGCTCCGGCCGTCGGTGAGTGTGCAGGGGCTCCAGAATACTTTCCAGCAAGATTTTTCTGATGGTTGATCTTTGACCTGCATTTGCTCAGAAGACCCAGCTTGCCCTCAGGTGGCCCGGGGCACTGAGCACATGGGGCCACCCTCTTGCAACAGGTGTAAAAAAAAATCTCTGGGCAATTGCTCAACATCTTGAACAGGCCTTTGCACGGACGCTTGCAGGGGGATTTGTGCAAGCGGAATTGGTCAGTTGCAGCCGCCTCAACGCTTAGCAAACCGGCACGCAGGCAGAGCTTCGGCCGGGTGGTGAGGAAATCCAGGCGGCACTACGAGGAAAAAGGAGTCGCTGGGCCATTCATGGTTTTTGAGACTTGCTTGTACCTCTCTGGACTGGAAGAAGACCCGGTCTCTTCGGAAGGACCCCTTTGCTGGGGCTCCAAGTGTGTAGAGGGGAATACTGGCAAAAACCAGTTTAAAGATGCTCCTGCTGGGATTCGCATGACGCACTTGGTTGTGACGTCAGGTATTGTGTCCAGCTAAGCTCACATGGATTGCAATTACATTGATAAACCAAAGGGAGCATTTTACAAGAGATGTTATCTCACAAAACTTGATTGCGAGACCTCTTTAAAAAGAAAAGTCACAAGCCCTTTTCTTACTAGTTTTAGTCCCTTTTTTTTCTTTCTTTCTTGAATTTCAAAACCAAAATACTGGTAAGTCGGACATCAACTGGAAGGAAAGGCAATGGATTAAGCTGAAAATACAGATTTCCCTAAGTAAAAAAACAGCTAAGGGCACTTTTAAGTACAAACTTTGAAGTTGAGATGTATTTTTGATAGCCTATAAAGGCAGGGAGTAATTAAAATCCCCCAAGAGTCCTGGAACAAACAGCTGAAAAGAATTCTTTGAGCAAAATTGGAAGACCCGCAAAGATCCACAATGCTCAGTTGCCAATTAAACAGAAATAAGATTACATTTCCTTTGAATTATTTTTATCGGTTCAGAAGAGACTTTAACCTGTCCACTGCCATCCTGAAAAACAAACTGGGGAAAGTCTAGAAGTGTATCTGATGGATTTTTGATTACCCCAATCTGGTACCCTAAGACACAACCGGTCAAAGAAAGAAGATGTTTATCAAAATACTTTATTTTCAGCATAACCCCTCAAAAAAGAAAAAAAAAGAAAAAAAGAAAAACAAAAACCTCCCTCCTTATTAGACGTACATCCTGACAATATCTTTTGTTTTTCCTCTGGTTTTAAATCAACTAAAACAATCTTTTGGTTAAAATAAAAGACACATGGAATCTTCTCATCATGGGTCTCTATGCAGCTGGGGGGGGGGGCGAAGTGGGCAGACGGAGGGACAGTTTCCAGCTGGTGATGGTGTTTGGGGGCGTCTCTTCTTACACGTGTGCAGAAGTGCATGGCTGAAGACACCTGACACGTAGCATGGCTAACTAGGGGGATACAATTCATAGCTAGCAAAGAAGAGGGCAGGGCAAGGAGGGGAGGGGAGGGAGGGAGGGAGGGAGGAGGCATCCGGCAGGGCTGCGGAGAAGAGTCCACTGTGCACGAGGACCAGGAAAACGATCGCGGCGACCGCTTGTACCCGAGGCCAGCAGCACCCGGGTGGGAGAGGCACTCAGGGGACCATCTCCCACCCAGGAAGTGGGCAGGGGTGGATTCCAGCTGACAAAATTTATCCAATTTGTTGTTTGTTTTTTAAAAAAAGGACCACAGCCAAAATAAAACAGAACTGCAAAATCCGAAGTGGCTGCTTGTATGCTATTTGTAAAAACACCGGCGCAGTCTCTAATCCGGGCTGGACCAAGGCTTGACTATACTTTCCCGGGGATCTTGGCCCGCTTTCGAGCGATGGCGTCTTCCACGGCCTTCAGCTGCTTCAGGAGTTCCTCCCTTCGCGACAACGTGCTGGACTTGCCCGATTTGGCGGGGGCGGCGGGAGGGACCGGCTCAGGCACTCTGCCCGGGATGCTTGTGACCTTGCTGGAACTCTTGGACTGAGGGGACAGCGGACGCTTCCTGCAAGAGAGCAAAGACGGTGTTGGGAAGGGGAGAACCAGGGGCTCCATCGTTCTGTAGATTTGCAACAGCAAGCAGGCTCTGCCAAACGGGTGGCACACCTCAGACTCACAGGGTGGGAAGGGACTGCATGGCTCCTCTACTGCACAGTCCTCAACCTCGGCAACTTTGAGACGTGTGGACTTCAACTCCCAGAATCCCCTGGCCAGCCATTCTTAAAGGCGGCATCTTAAGACTGAGGAACACCTATCCAGCCCAACCCTCTCCATCTGTGGGAAAACCAAATCAACCATCCCTTCAACCATGCCAAGGGAAAATGGCAGGAGACGTCGCCATCCTGATGGCAGGGATTCAGGAAGACGAACCAGAGGAAGGACAGCGCCCGGAATCCCAGGCAGGTCTCCCCAGTAAGTCCAGGGCCAGCAAAACTACTCAAAGCAGAGGTCTCCGTTTGTGTTCCAGCTGACTTGATGGTGGCTTGATTAACCAATGGGTGCTCCCGGCAACTGTGACTAATGCAAGGGAATGTCACACATTCAGACATTTTTTCACCTGCAATGGCTTGGCACGAAACAACTAAACCAATGACACAACCGGCCAACGAGACAAGGCTGAGGGTCAGCCACGCAAGGACTGCTTCAGACTGCGGCTTCCCCAAGCCTGCTCTACAGCTGCCAGGAAATGGAGGGAGCCCAGGCAGTTCTTGACGCAGGATTGCTCATTTAGCGACGGTTCGAAGTTATGACAGCCTCGGAAAAAGTGACTTGCAAACCATCCTCAAAGTTATGGCCATCCCCCCAGCAGCGCAATCAGGTAACCTGGTTTTGGGTGCTTGGCAACCAGGCAACCTGGATGGAGAAGAACTCACTTGTCAGCCTGTGCTGGGGAGGGCTTTGGATTGGGCCCCCGCTGACGGTCCTGTTTAGGAGAGGAGAGCCTTCCTGCCAGCTTCCTGTCGCGAGTACCTGAGTGGAAAGAAAAATCAGCCAAGGGGCTTGGAGCTGATGTCATCCCTCCGAGGTAGACCAGGCCAAGCTAAGCCCCCTTTTCTTGTAAGGTTATTACAGTCCCAGATCTTGCAAGTCTGAATGCATCCCCCTCCCTTTTATCTTGGTGAGAACTAGGGAGGGTGTTGCCCAAGACGCTTTCCCAGGTTACAATTCTGGCCCCAGACTCCGGTTTCGTTTCTCTGACTGGTGCCTCGGTAGCGGCTTTTCCTCCACTTTCTCAAGGTCCTTCTTTCTACCCATTGCCTCTTCAGGAACTGCCTGAGGTGAAGGCATTTTACCTGAACAGACCAGCCAGCTGGTACTTGGGCGCAGGTGAGCTTTTTAAGGGTGTCAGAGAGAATGGGGAGGCCCACAGGAGACACAGAAAGGGGCCAAGTCCAGGCTAACAATACAGGCCGGGACTAGAAATAATTTCCTGTAATGCCTTAAATGCCAGCCACACTTGAGCGCCCTTCTTAGCAGTCTTTACAACAGCTCTGTAAGGTAGGCCAACGATCTTCTCTCACAGGGCAGGAGGAAGGCCGAAACCGAGAGAGAGAGAGAGAGAGAACCTGAACAAGCCCAGAGTTCAAGGCAGAGGTGTGATGTGGACTGGGGATTTTCCATTGCTGCTCTTTTAGCGACACCAGTTTAGATTTACACAATACATTGTTCAGGTGGCAAGATCAGCAGAAGGAATGTGGCACCGTTCTTGGCACTCAAGAGGAAAGCCTTGGCTTTAGCAACAGGGCCCGGGGCCAAGTCAGCGCCCGAGGTGACCTGAGCAACAGCGGGTGCTGAGCAGTGCCAGGCAAGCCGACTGAGCCTGACACAAGGGCAGCGTCCCTCGGGAGAGACTTGCAACTGAGGTGACTTGGGCTGAGCCTGGCCTGCATTTTGGAATGGAAAAAAACCCGGTCTCCTCAAAAGCCAGCCAGGAGTTCTCAAGACAACGAGGCATCAACCCTCCGGCCTCGGCTGGTAGAGTGGATTAGGCAGCCCCACCCGCCGGGACGCTCTCTTGCTTCACCCGCTTGCACGAGGATGGCTGCAGACCAAGGCCTGGCACCTCCCTTTTACACACACACACACACACACACACACACACACCCTTTCCGACTCCTGAACTCTGCCCTGAGCGCGAAGCAGCCGATTCAGGGTGCAGCTAGAAGACCAGCTGGAGAGCAAAGACAAAGCCAGCTGCTCTCAAGTGGAACCAAGCGCTCCCGGAAGGAAGGACCGTTGGTCCTCAGACCTTTAGCCGAGTCTGCCAGGCCCGGCTCCTCACCTGGAGACAGGTTGATCCTCTTGGCTGGGGGAGAAGCCTGCCGGTCTTTGTCGGAGGGCTCGTACCTCTTCCGGCTACTGTTTTTGTCAGCTGCCTAAAAGCAGAGCAGGAGGGGTCATGGCGAGCCAGGCTCCCGCCCTGAGGGGGGGGAGGGGAAGGGATGGCGGCTGGCTGACCTGCCGGCCTGCCTGGTGAAGCACTTGGTCTGCTTTGGAGGTGCCCACACATGCACACGGTGGCCTCCCTGGGATCTCTCCCTGAGAGAGATCAATTGCACTTAATTCTAGCTTGGGGCAGTGAAGTTAGCAAATGTCACTCAAGACAAGAGGCTGCTTTTGATGACAAGTCCATCATATCGGGAGAGGGGCCCCCCCGCCCACCGCTGGAAGGAGCAAACTCTGAGTGCCCGAGAGGGTCCCTCTTCTTGCCCTGCCCACCTCTGGGCAGAGGTTGGGCCCTTAGAGAGCCCAAAGAGGTTCCTGGACAGGCCTCTGCTCGGTCCCAGTTTCCTTTCCTGCCCATCAGCTGAGACTCTGGGCCCTTTCAGAGGGGCCTTACCTTGTTTAATAGGGTGAGCTTGATTTCCTTGTGGGCACTAAAGCCAGCAGGCTGGACCTGGGGGGGCGGGTGAGGGGCGGGAGGCTGCTGGGACTTGCCCCCTGAGGTGGGCTTGGCGGCTTTGGCCGGCTGCGCTGGGACGTCTCGCTTCCGCTTCTCCTCCTTCGGGCCGCTCTCTCTCTTGGCCTTCCCTGCAAAAGCGGAGGGCAGTTCAGGGCAAGGGTGGCAGCTGGTACCTTGGAGGGGCTCAGGTGCCTCCTCTAAATCACGCGAGGCCACCCCTCCCCCGCCCAGAGGCAGCCTTCAGGCCTCCCCCAAAGGCAGGTGCTTTGGGGAGGGGCAGCGTTCAGATGCTCTCTTCTATTCTTGCCTACAAAAGCTCTCCTGGCACTTTTAATCTGGGAAGCGGCGGCGGGGGGAGCAGAATCCGCATTAGGTTTTATTGCTGCCCTTTCATTTTGTGTGAATTGGGGAATTGATCTGCACCTGGGAGAGCCCATCAGAGCTCCCCCCCCCAAAGGCCTTAGACAACCTTCTCCCCCCCCCCCATCCTGAGGCCACCGATTGCCCAGGGCTGGGCCCACGGACTCTGCAGGGGCGAGAGAGAGAGAGACGTGTTTTCAGGACGCCGGGGGTGTCTCCTGGGCTCTGTGCGGCATTCCCACCATGGGGCAAAGACTGTGATCCGCAAAGCCTCTTTAAGGAAGAAGCCTCCGAACGGGCCACCCGTGGAACCGAACCACCGGCTGCCAGCCGGCTTTGCCAGTAAAGGGGGAGTGGACCCTCTCAAGAAACCCAGGCAGATGCCGTACCTCTTTCTTTCTTCTGCTGGGCAGGGGCTGGGGAGCGGGAGCTAGCCGAAGAAACCGGGCTGGCCAGATCCGCATACATGTCTTCCGAGTCGGCACTGCGGACGGAGCTGCTGCTGGAGGAGGCACTGGAGGCGGAAGAGACGCTGCTCACACTCAGAGACCTGACCGGCCGGGAAAGAGAGGAGGGCAGAGACTGTTAACCCCCCCTTCGGCCTTTCAGTGGCACGGAGAGCCTCTCACACAACACGCGCAAGTGAGCCAGCCCCCTTCTAACCCAACCCTGCTCCCTTGGGAGAGCCCAGGGGAGAAAAAAGGGTTGGAGGGAGGCGTTACGAGTTACCCAAAAAAAAAAAGGAGCCGCCAAACCACCAAGGGGCTTCCGGCAAAAAGGCCTGGCGCTTGGCAAAAGCCACCGACTGGCGCTTCCTGACTCCAAGAGGAAGAACAAGGCTCTCACCTGGATTTTCTGGACCCGGATGGGGACGGGGAAAGCGAGGCCGAGGAGGACCGGGAGAGGGATCGAGACAAGGATCTCGAGTGGGAGCTGGAACCGCTGTAGCTGCTGCCGCTGCCGCTGCAACTGACGGCCCGCCTGCAGCCAAGAGGATCCCCGTGTAAGCTCCCACTGGTGGACACGAGGGGACCCTCTGCCCGTCCCTTCGGGCAATGCCAACGGTCCAGCACTTGGGCACAAGTGGACAGCTGACCACCCCAGGCAGCGCAGGCACCGACAAGCTTTTCCAATGCAAGCTTCCCAAAGAGTCTTCCATGAACCCCACCTCTTAAGAGGAAGGAGGCATCACAGAGCAAATGGGAAAAAGGTTTAAAGAACTCCCACAGGGGCCGTGGGCAAAACCAGTCTCCACTGGCCCTGTGTGTCTAAGACACGTTTGCCGAGGAGGTCTGGCTAACCCTCCAGGGCCATCTGTGCCAGGGACGAGTCAACGTTGCCTCCGAGACCCCTGCAGACCCTCGAGGTCCAGGTCTCGTCCTACGAAGCAGTCACCAGAGCTGCTCTCCTTCCAGCCAGCCCACGAAGAACCTGCCGCTGGAGCCCCACTCTGGAAGGCGCCCCCTACCTCCTGGGAGGGGTCCTCGCTTGCCGCTCCTTCCGTCTTGCCTCCCTGTTGTCCCCTGGTTTGGCTGGCTCTGGGGCAGAGGGGGCAACTTTTGCCACGGGGGGAGGTGCTGGCGGGGTGAGGAGTTTCTTCACAAGCTTTTCACTGAAGAAGGGCAACAGATAAGAGAAATCAGGTGAGAAAAACCAAAGTTTAGTGACCAAGGTTAAAACAGATACGATGTCATCTCTGGTAACCCTTATCAGACTTTTTCTGGCATAAGGACTGAGGTGACCTGCCTATAAATAAGACAAATAGACTGTAAAGGGCCCTGAAGCGTTATTTTATGAGCCGCAACAGAAAAAGCTGCTTCTTGAAATGGCCAAATAGAATTTAGGTGGCATCCCAAAAACTGGAAGAAAGAAAAAACGAGTGCAATGGATTGTTAAAAAACTGGTCAACCAGATTCAAATCCTGTTAGCCCAAAAACCCCATCTTGGACCAAGCACTCTTCATAAATCCAGCAAGAAGGGTGATGGATCATACTAAGATTTAGGCTGATATTCTCAAATATAATTACGATGTGAACACACAGCCCTGTCTTGTCCCTGAAACTGGCACGGAAGGGCACATTGCTGGATCGTTTTGGGCGCCCTCTTTGGCCCAATTCTAAGCTCCAAAATCAGGTTTCTCAGATGTGGTGGCCAGAATTGCACTCTGGCTTCCGACTGATTGGTGTGGAAGGTGTAAAGGACTCTGCTGGCTTTATTTTCATCCTGACTGTCCTCGGAGAATGCGAAGCATGCCGGAGCCCGAGAAGGCGCCCTCCTTACCCCTTTCCAGCCACAGCTGCTGGTTCCCCTTTAGCCTTGGGGGGAGGCTTGTGTGGAGATGGCGTGGGAGACGGAGACGGCGAAGAGGAGAAGGACTGCGACCTGCAAAGTCAGGCAAGACAAGCGCTTAGAGCAACATCTCGATACCCACGGGGGGAAGTGGGGGGGGGGGGGTTAAGCTGAATTGCCCAACTGAATTAAATCAACAGCAGAAAAAAGTGATCAATAGGTTGGATACTTAAGGTGCCTTGCAATATATATACATATATATATGAAAACCGGTTGTGGAACAGTGAAAACATTTTGCATAAGCAAACTGGAATGAATGTTTACAATGCTTGAATGTTAGCTAAGGTGAATTCATGGTTCACTGAGAATTCTCTGTCTTTGACCGTGGGGGAAGAGGAGGATAGCTTACATTATACTGCAGTACAAAGAGCAGAGCAGAAATAAAGCAAGTTAGTAGCCGACACAGGAGAATATTTGTAGCTCAGGGCTGAGAGGAGGCGCCCTCTGTGCTTGGTGGTTTTTATGTTACTCAAGAAGAAATTACTCAAACTAGGCAGCAGCATCAGTGCTAGCAAGGATTGGGGTTTGCTCTCAATCGAGAGTGAGCAAACGGAGAGCAAACCCCGATCCTTACCAACACTGATTATGTTGCCCAGGTCTGCATTAAAACCACCGAGCTCAGAGAGCACCAAGGACCCCTCAGGTTAACAGCCATTCTGAAAGGCAGGAAAATCAAGGGAGCCACAGACAGGCCCATCTCAGAGAGTTGTGATCATCACAGCTTGCAGAATATTTGCATCTGGGGCTCCAGGGGAACAGATGGGCCACGGGCCAGTCTGCCCACGCTCCGTGCTTCTCTTGCAGAGGACCTCCCTGAAAGCTGCTCTGGATGACCAGCTGGACGTGGCCAAAGCTTTACTGTTGGAAAGAGAAGCCAAGAATCCACGCAAACCCCTCACCTGGATTCCCCAGCTGCAAGTAAGAGCAAGCTATCAAGGTGCCTGAAATTCCCTGGGGAATGCTGCTTTCCGGTTAAAACAATCAACCAATCGATTATCCAAATAGTTTGGAAGCTGCTTGTGGACGCACACCATGGTCCCCAGGCTCCGCGTAAGTGCGGTTGTGATGTGTGACATGTCGCACTTAGGAACCACAGGAGGAAAGTCATGAGAACCCACTCTCCACTTTCATCGTGTCTTGCGTGCCAATGAGAACACAAACTGAGGAACTGGCCCTTGAAGGGCAGGCAGGAAGTTACCAAGTATGTGGGTGGCACATCCCAGAAGAGGCGAAACTCAGGGACACACCTCGACAGCTTCCAGTAATCAGGGGCGGTGCTGCTACTGGATGTCTGCCCCACGAGCCCTCCTGCCTTAGTCCCACTGCAAATGCCACGCTGCGCCAATAAGGGGAATGTACATACAGTGGGGAAAGGACAGGGAGCCTGGAAAGAGGATTAATTAAGCCGAAGGGATTTTCAGCCTGCATTCCAACACAAGGCACCATTTAGAATAGGAAAAGTGAAGGTGACACTGTTAGCTTAGGTATAGTTGTGATCTGCCCTGTTCAGGACCCATAATATGGGGTGGAGAGGTGTGTGTGTGGGGGGTCTCTTCTCTGCAGGGCCCTGGGGTTGTGCTTTCAGCTTCAAAACTGAAGCTGAACTTCAAACTTGCTCTGATGGTGCAAAGATAAGAGCCCCCCCCTCCTCATTGTTTTAGACCAGTTCCCCCCATTCTTGACAGGAGCAAGGAAACCTAAGCTTGGGCCAAAGGGAGACTTTCAAACCAGTCCACCTTTGAGTTGCTAGAGAAAAATTCCATAGAAGAGGAGGAGGAGGAGTGGACCTGAGGGGTGTGTGTGGGAGGGGGAGGGGATAAGTGACAGCTGAAAGCATCACTGGATTTGGTGCCAGTCATGAGACTCCATAAACAATCTCTGCAATTCATTTTGCTGCAATTCAACAAGTCACTCTGCTGTTTTACGCGGGTCACAGGATTGTCATTGTTTGTTTACTCAACTGCCCTGTTTTGACACTTGGTTGTGATAAGAAATGGGTGTCGGGTTAAATCTGAGTATTTCATCACCTTTTATCAGCTACAATTGCAGCTGCAAATGCCAACACGTAAACCTGGCTGGCACCCTGCCTGCTCGGAAATTTCCTCAATTTCTAGGCTATAAAGCCCTGGAATCGGATAGGCAGGAATCAGCCCCACGAAGGTGTTCTCGCCTGCAAGAAGCGGCCAGGAGCGCAAGGCTTGGACGAGAGATTTAGACACCCTACAAAAACTACGACGGGATTCATGTTTGGCCCCTTCAGATATCCCTGGTCACATCTAGACAATCCGAGGTTGATGGGTGGTTAAGAAATATGAAATACAAATAAAAAATTTACTTTTTTTCCCCTTTACCATGTTCTACCTATGAGCCCTTTGTTCGGCATGTCATTCCAGGATTTCATTGCTCCAATGCTGTGGTGGGGACCCTGAGCTTTGATATTCACCAGTGCAAGGGCCTGGAGAGAGGGGGACCAGCCTGAGTGGCAGCTGGGGAGCGGGGAGAAGCCTTACCTGGACCGACTGCCTGAGAAGGAGCTGTGCCTGGAAGAGCGACTAGAATAGGAGCTATAGGAGGACGATCTGGAACGTGACCGCGAAGAACCTGATCCAGAATAGGAGGAGGAGCGGGAGGATGACCTGAAAGGGAAAGAGGGAGGGAATTCAGCAACCAGAAGATCTGCCCCAGTCATTCTGGCTTCCTGGTCTTGTTTCAAAAAGAGGCAAGGCCCATCTCACCTTCTCTTTCCTCCTGAGATTGTTTCCAGATCCTACCAGAGGTAGGAATCTGTGTCCTGTTTTACTGCAGTGCATCCTTAAAAGGTCCCGGTCTCTTTCGAGGGACATTAACTTTCCTCCTTAGTGGAATGGGACAGCAACCCATTCCCACAACTCTCGGTTGTATCCTGGTTTACACAACAAACAGGCTTTCCCACCGCTGGTTCCCAAGACCTTTTGGTGCAATCTTTAGCTTTTCTTCCAGAACTTCTTCTATGAAGTCCCTTTGCACTGGGGACGCACCCAAGAAGAAACATCCGCCAGGTTTATACCTTGAAGAACCCGAGCCGGAAGCTGACGAAGCCGAGGTTTTCCGGCGCCTCCTCGCATGACTGGGTGAAGCGGACATGCCGTGCTTTTTTTTGGGCGATTTGGATCGGCGCCAAGGGTCCTTCCATTCATCGGCTCTCTTGGAGTGGGAAGGAGTGGTTGTAGTTGCTTCCTTCTCCTTCTTTGATGGCTCAGGCTGACGACTATAGAGGATGGATCAAAAAGATAATTAGAGGGGAGGCAGCTTGCGCTGACTGCCTCTTATTGAGGTGCATAACATTTTTAGAAAGGGTCAAGGTTTGTTGAGTGCCAATAGTGGGATGGGCTATTGATTTTTTTTACAGAGTTTTCAAAAACTATTTTTAAGTGGTTTATCAGACAAAAAGTATAATGCACAGTATATAAAAACAGCAGCCATGAAACTTAAACACAGCAAATATAAAAACAACTAAAAAGCAACAATTCCTTGAAAGTAGAATCTTTAATAACTGTTGATACAGAAGTCACTTTAAGTGGGCATGATAAAGAGTGAGGCGAGACCACAGGTATCTTCACAGAAGCTAGAACCTTAAAGTTAGGTGCCATCAACCTGCAAATCCCTGGAAAGGGTTTTGCAGATACAGAAGGCAACACGGGAACTCCTTAGAGAAAGACTCTGCTCCCCAGGGTCCTTTTTTCATTACTCTAACTAACTTGAAGGCAAACCACAGAGCACAATGCTTTATTATTTAATCGATTCTTTAAAAAATCCTTCTATGCCTTTGCTTTCACTGGAAGAAAAAGACCTTGGCAATGGCATCATCAGGAAGACCAGAAATGAAAGAGAAAGGAGTTTTGCCAACAAGAAAAGACTTCTGTAAATGGAGAACTTAGGGAAAACCCAACAGATGTTTCGTTTCTGGCCAGGTTATTCCCTGACTTCGCCAACTGTAGACACAAACCCCCAAGGAGGAGAAAGAGCCACAGGGTCAGGCAAAGAGACCAAGAGGTTTGATCCCAGCCTCCAGTCACAACCTCTGGTCACTTCTCAGTGTCCGGAATGAATAATCAGTGGGAATGTTTGCAGAACAGCCTCTACCGAAGTAAGGAACCTTATGGGAACAAATGTTGGTTTTGTAATTTTTCTACCCTGGCATTTCCTCTGATATCCAAGTCTAGATTTTAGATTGCGGTCTTAGAAGTGGCAGTCATCCTTTGGGGGTCTCCTTTAAAGTATTTTTTATAGAAATTTGGAAAACTGCAAGGATAGCAGGAAGGTTTAAGAAGCTCTTACAGGGGTTTCTTTGCTTCTCGGCCGTAATGTCCATCTTCATGACCCCACAATTATCCTTTCCTAATAGTGTCTCTTCTCCAATACCTAACCCTTGCTTAACGCAGAATCTGCTCTGGTCTGTTGCACCAACATTCCCCTGCAAGGATTCTTCACATTCTAACTCAGGATTCTTTACATTTCTTGCAGAAATGAATGCATATCTACCCCTGGGCCAAGTGCCTCCTTCTTCAGCTTCACCTATAATCTCAAATAGCTGGCTGTTCAAGGTAAGAAAAATATGCCAATGGACACATTCTTCAACCTCCCGACCCAGCCGTGCTTTTTCAGCAAGGAATGGCAGTGCTTTCCAATAATCACCTGCCATGGAAATCTGCCATGTTTTTATTTGTTTTGCTGCAACAGGCTCTTCGCTTCAGCAGGAAATCCAGAAGAGATATTTGGAGCTGTGCCAGGGCAATAGATTAAGGGGGAGAAAATTCCACCCAAGTGTTTCAATGCAAATGATGCATTATTCAGACAGGAAAACGCTGTTCCACTCCGAGAAAGTTACTTCCCCCCCCACCCCATCCTTCCCCTTCCTCTTCGTATGACATAAGCAAGCCCTTTCACTCGTGGCCTAATCTTATCAGGCAGGGAGGCTGAATGACGGCACTTCAGTTCAGGAATACTGAGACAACGTGCACCTTGCAAAGGCAGAGATCCCTCTTAGAAAGGAAGTTAAAGAAAAAAATTAAGCAAGGTACACAGTGACATCACTGCAAATTTCCCAGGATTGATGACAGGAAATGAAGGTCTGGAAATGGTTGCTCAACAGATACCTAATTTAAAAGTCTGAATTAAATCTGCACATACACTTTAAAAAATGTGCCCTTTGAAAAAAACATCACGGACAACCTTTAAAAGAGATGTTTAAAAATGCAGAAAACTATAGTAGCCCAAGGAAGGGAAAATCCACAAATCAGCAATTATCTAACATTCTTACTTGGAGCAAATAAAATAAACTAAAACAAAACCACACATACAAAATAAATGAAGTTGGGAACTAGCTTTTAAGTTACAACAACTCTTCCCCACACCAGCAGACTGGATGGCTACTGATATCAAAAAAGAAATAGGGCTGGCTACTCTTGGCCTTATATATTTTGATGCAACTTGAGATATTTTGCACATGGCACAAATCAGCTTATTTGTTTGTGGAGAGATTCTTGAATCACTCACACATGAAGGAATCACACACTGCCGAGCGAGCTTTTATTTATTGTTTTTCATTGTCTCTTGCCATCTATTTAGCTTTGCCAATTAAATAATATGTAGGAAGGTAGGAAGGTAAGTACATAGATACAGAGACAGATGATAGATACAGAGATCAGTAGACAGACAGAGACAGACAATCTAACATTTAACCAGCAGAAGGAAATTTAACTTATATTATAGTGGCTTAACATTGCTTTAATAAACACAGAGAATGATTACTGCTTTTAAGCATTATCTTTATGAAACATAACTGGCATCAACAGAGATTATTATTAATAAAGGCTGGAGCTCAAAAAGAATTTGGTGATGTTTCCAACAAATCAGAAATACGTACTGATTTTCCTTAGGAAAAACTGCACCTTTCTATGCTATATTTCAAACAACTTGGAGGGTGGGGCTGCTTTTCTTTTAAAAACACTTTATATTCAAATAGGATCAATTTATTTTTAAAATACACCAATATGTATTTTCCTTATACTTTTACTATCCCCGAATCTTAATACATTGCTTTAGATATATCTATAGAACAACTGTTGATTTTAAGTTGTTTTATAACCAGTGCCTTTTTTTGTAAAAAAAAAAAAAAAAAAAGGTGCCGGAACTCACACATGTCATAGAACCCACCTTGCCTACCCTACAAGGTTCCATCCAAAAAAGGTGCTGGAACTCTGTTCTGGGCGTTCTATGACCAAAAAAGCCCTGTTTATAACTATAATAATTGGCTTTCAAGTACATCACTGAGCTTTGTCCCTTGAAGCCAGCTTGGGAAGGCTGCTTTTTTACACAGGTGTCAACAAAGCCCCTCCTCTGTGCTGTTAAGGGCACAAGCAAACACGGGTTAGCTAGTCTGTACCTTCAAACCAGCCACGTCCAAGTGATCGTGTTTTTGTGGCCTTCTTGGTGAGCTTGGCTACTTGAACTGAGGATGGGGCTTTAACGGACACTGGGGTTTTTGAGCTGAAGGGTGTGTTGCTCTGACACCCCCAAGAAGCAAAATGGCCGTGATGCCACAAAGAAAGGCAAAAAAAGAAAAGAATTGTACGTCACTGCGCAGATGGTTATATTTCCATTGCTTGGCCAAAACGTATCACGAGAGCAAGGAGCGCGCCAACTGGATTCCAGGCCCTTAAGAGAGACCCTATCCAAGTCCTTGTGCATGAGGAAGAAGACTCTTGTTCATTATAGTAAAGTATTTCCTGTGGGGGAAGGATGATCCAGGAAAGAAAACTGGACTGGCATCGACCAGCAGATTACTAATCAAGAGGGGACTCATGACAACCCAGGAATCCAAGAATTGCAGGCACCTGTTCTTGCTAAATCCTCTTGCAAGGTCGTGACTCTTTCTGTATGCAAAACACAACCGTGTCGTTTCAGTTGCATGACCTGAACGGGACACTCCCTTCCGGCAGGGAGCCTAAGACTTTCCCATTTGCTAAGCTTGACCTGGGACTAGACTAAGTCTTCAGTGAGCGCAGAAACACGAGGAAGACCCAGGTTTCTTCCCATGGAGGAATGAGCCTTCCTGATCAATTTAAAAGGTTACTTGGACGATGAGAGGAGAGGGGGGCATTGTAAACGCAAGATAAGAGGAACAGAGAGAGGGATTGGGCGGGCGGAGGAGAAGGAAGCCGGTTTTTAATCTCTGGGGAATCTACATGGAATTTCTCACAGACAAGCCATACTGTACGGTGTTATCATAAATCGATATCTATGAACTCTCCAGTCACCCAGAACAGGACAAATAAATCAGCTTTTAGATGCCACCTTCTGACTAAGAGCCCAGCAGGACACAGAGGAAGAAATCAAAGCAACGGGAAAGCTTTAGAGCTCCTTTTTGCAGGGATACTATAAAAATCTCGCCCTTTAAGCCCACCGATGCCAGCCAACTAACGGTTTATTTCGTCAGACGTGGGCACAAGAAAAGAAGCAAAAGCATCTGCAGCCTTTCTTTGCTACCTTGACGCAGGCGATAAGGCCACCGGAAAACTTGCACCAGGGACCGAACACTCAAACAGAGTATTAAAAGCTCAGCGACACTGGGGAAAATATTTCGGTATCTCTGAATGTTTGGTAATGACATTAAGTGGCAGAGCTGGGACTTGATTGGAATACAGGGAGTCCTTGACTTACAGCCGTTTGCTTAGTGACCACTCAAAGTTACAACGGCACTGGAAAAAAATGACTTATGGCCATTTTTCACACTTACAACCGTTGCAGCCTCCCCAGGGTCACCTGATCAAAATTCAGACTCTTGGCAACTGATTCATATTTATGACGGTCGCAGCGTCCCGGGGTCATGTGATCCCCTTTTGCGACCTTCTGAAAAGCAATGGGGAAGCCAGATTCACTTAACAACTGTGTTGCTAACTTAACAACTGCAGGGATTCACTTAACAACTTTGGCAAGAAAGGTCATTAAACGAGGCAAAATTAATTTAACAACCGTCTCGCTTAGCAACAGGAATTTGGGGCTCAATTATAGTTGTAAGTTGAGGACTGCCCGTGTTCTGATTTGGTTGAAGAAGGCGGTTAACGTTGCTTCTAGAAAGTCCGAAATTGACAAAGGGTGGGGGGGGCTCTGTACAAAGCCAAATCATGTGAGTCAGCTGCCCTTCACAGAGGATGAGTGAAATGAAACATAACAGGTATAATTAGGAGAAAATTGGCCACTGGGCAG